AAGGAGCAGCTTGGTTTAATCTTCTCCAAGATGGATCTGTTTGTTTTCCTGGCAGTCCAGGGTACATTCAGTACCCTTCTCCAGCACCACAGCTCAAAAGCATCCACTCTCCTTCTGTCCTCCCTAGTCATTGTCCAACTCTCTGATGCATAACAAGCGATTGCAAATACCATGACCTGTATCAGGCGCACCTTAGTCTCCAGAGAGACACTGTTGCTCCTGAGTACGTTTGAGAGGTCCCTAACGGCAGACTTTCCCATCGCGATACGCTTTTTGATTTCCTGACTGCTGGTACCAAGAGTGTTAACTGTGGAGCCGAGTAAAGTGAAGCTGTGAACACTCTCAATCTCTTCATCATCCATCCTGACGCTGCCAATTGGTCCAGTGGCGAGAATCTTTGCCTTCTTGACGTTGAGCCTCAGTCCATACTGAAGGCTGCAGTCCTTGACCCCTCGCAGCAAGTGCATGAGGTCCTCCTCAGTTTCAGCAAGCAAGGTTGTGTCATCTGCATAACGGAGATTGTTGATAGATCTTCCACTAATCCTGATGCCACAATTCTCCTCATAGAGCCCAGCCTCTCGGATAATCTGCTCTGCATACATGTTGAAAAGGTATGGAGACAGGATGCATCCCTGGCGTACACCCTTCCCTATTTTGAACCATGCAGTGTTACCCTGCCCTATTCTGACTACTGCCTCTTGGTCCAAGTATAGGTTTCGTATTAGCACAATTAAATGTTCTGGGATTCCCATTCTTCTCAGAGTCAGCCACAGTCTGTTATGATCCACACAGTCAAATGCCTTTGCATAATCAATGAAACACAGATAGACATTCTTCTGGTATTCCCTGCTTTCAGCCAAGATCCATCTAACATCAGCAACAATATCCCTAGTACCACGACCCCTTCTAAACCCAGCCTGGACTTCCGGCAGTTCTCTGCTGATGTGCTGTTCTAATCGTTTTTGGATGATCTTCAGCAGAATCTTGCTTGCATGTGAAATCAATGACACTGTTCTGTAGTTTCCACACTCAGTTGGGTCACCTTTCTTTGGAATGGGAACAACTATAGATCTCTTCCAGTCAGTTGGCCAAGTGGTTGTTCTCCAGATTTCTTGGCACAACTTGGTGAGCATGTCCAGGGCAACATTTGTTATCTGAAATACTTCAATTGGTATACCATCTATTCCTGGGGCTTTATTTTTTGCTATTTCCTTCAAAGCAGCTTGATCTTCTTCCTTCATCACCATAGGCTCTTGCTCATATGTTATTTCTTTAAATTCCTCTGTATCTGCCAATTCCTTTCTATATAATGACTCAGTATATTCCTTCCATCTTCTTTTAATACTTCCTGGATCATTTAATATTCTGCCCGAAGCATCCTTGATTACAGCAACTCTAGGTTTTAATCTGTTCTTCAGTTCCTTGAGCTTAAGAAATGCTGAGCGAGTTCGGCCCTTTTGATTTTCTGACTCTTAGTTCCTCGCACATTTCATTGTAGTATTTTGCTTTGTCATTCCGAGCAGCCTTTTGGAATCTTCTGTTCAGCTCTTTAGTATCTTGAATTCTTCCTTGTGCTTTGGCTTCTCGACGCTCCAGTGCAATCTTCAGAGTTTCTTCTGACATCCATTTCACCAATCGGAAGACATTATACTAAAGTGAAATAGCTCAGTCACAAAGCGACAAATACTACATAATATTGTAATAATGGGCCCAAGATGGGGATGGGAAGAAGAGCAGGAAAGGAACATATAGATCAGGAACACTGCAATGGAATGGGTGAAAAGAAGGACGATTTGAAAGGAATGGATGATTAGAAACCATGTGTATGAAATCAATCTCTTTGTAAACCTTCAGTAAAAAAATGAAATATGAATAAAACCAGTACAAGTAAACAAGCACATAATAAATAGCTGTTGTATGCCATTAAGTCAAAACTCTCCAGCAGGTTTTTGGGGGCAGTCAATCCCACAGGAGGAGATTGCCCCTCTTTACCAGGGAGTGGCTGGTGGAGGGGAAGCACATGCCTTTGGATTGCAAGGCAGCTTCTTACCACTGCGCTGCTAGAACTTGTTAACAAGCAGTAGTCCTTAGTACTTCCCAAGTTCTTTCTCTCTGCCAAATGTCCACTGAACATTCCTAGTAGTAGTTAACAGGGACTTGAACAGAAACGGACTTGAACATGGCAGAAAACTGAGAGAACGGTGCAGGATAGGAAAAATGTGCTTCTCCTTGGTTGGCTGTGAGTGGTAGTTGACTTCAGATCCACTGGACCCACGCTCCTGATGGGGCCCTGGTGGCTCAGTGGCAAGGAGTTGCACTGTCAACAGCAACTGCTTCTTATTGCTTTGTAGGTGTTATCTTGCCCTCCAGTGTGAAGCTACCTTGAGGCTAAGATCTGGTTTATTGCCCAGGAAAATACGAATTCGGCAGGCAATACTTGAAGGCATGTATTCCCCGAATGTATAGATGAGCACAAGTCACTTCCACAGCTAAACTCTACACTCCTTGCAGGTAGAGATCCTCCCCTGTGTTTTTCCCAGCCTTGGTGTTGTAAATGAGTAGGCTTTGCACTCAAGTACTAACTGAAGGGAACTCTAGGGACTTAGTCACAGGATGTTGCACTGCTAAACCAAAGGCGCGTTGCTCAATCCACCAACTGCTTCGCGGGAGAACGGGCCATCTCCTCTCGTGGGATCTACAGCTTCTGAAAATCCCCTGGAGGGTCAGCTATGACTCAGAGGAAATGAGGTCTTTTGGTTTTGGTGGCTGTTTGAACTCACCTGGTGGCTCTCGACAGAAAGTCCTGATGACCTGTTTTCTTAAGAACTACGGCCAAGAAAATGCTATGGAGAGGTTCTACTATGGGACTAGTAGTCTGAGTTAAGTCATAGCAAAGGGATCAATTTGGGTTTAGTTATATTCAGTAGGACTTTGGACACATCAGTCCTGAACACTTAAATTGTGGCCTGAGTAATGATCTCTTTGGTGTCTTAATTCCAGCCTAGCCTCACCATTCCCCATCCCTCCTAACTAACTGATTTTGCATGAAAGGAAGGCCTGGGTGCTCCAGTCTCCAGGGGAGAGGGTAAGTGTGCTTGGAACACCGCTAGAGTCGGTCAGACTGGGGTTTGGGGATCTGTGGACACAGAAGAGGGTGCGGGGTGGCAGAGGGAGCCTGCTGGAAGCCAGAACCCGTTGACTGCAGGCCGGTCCTTTGTCCTTAGCCACCTTTTCATCCTCAGAGCCTAGGAGTTTCTCAATGGAGCAGGCATGTAAGGAATGCTCTGCAGGGGTTGAGGGGATGGACCATGTGAGGACATTCCAAGCATTCTTACTTTCTCTGCAAGTCAGGCGGTGGGAGGTGGGGTGGGGAAGCTGCCTGGCAATGGAGGAAAGATTTCTTTAGAAAAGAGAGACTGAAGGCCGTGGGGGTGTCTTCAAGGAAGGGGGGTGGAGAAGGCGAGAGGGGTGGGGGTGGGGCCGTATAATGTGCCAAATCCAGCTATTCTTCAGGAGCTCCGGTGGCCCGATCCTGCAGCAGCTGCAGTGCTAGCCCAAAGGTGGTGTATCTCTGGTGGTTCAAATCCACCAGTGGCTCCATGGGAGAAAGATGGGCAACCTCCTCCCAATGCGGGGGGGGGGGGGGGTCAACCTCTGAGTTGGTCCTGGTTCAACAGCAACGCGGTTGAATCTGAGGGCTTCTTCAGTGTCAAAGAAGAGTAAGTTGGCCCACTTGATAGAGCCCTTTCCACTGCCTTGATAGGTCCTAGCCAGTATGGCTGAAGGAGGAAGAAGGGAGAGCTCAGGGTTTTGTTTTTATTCATTCAGTTTTCCATCATGACAGCCCACGGGGAGTGTAGGCTCAAAGACCTGTGACCCCAGCCGCCAACAGAACACCAGAGGCTGTTTCCATTCACCATTCTGTTTTAATGGAGTGGTTCTTGCAGACCACAGCAGGGGCAGAGGGACAATCGAGTGGACAGAATCAGGGCATGGTGTAAAGGGGGCCAGAGGACGCCCCCCCCATTACTAGTACACAGCAGTACTGATTTCTCTGTACACAGCCTTCCATGTCATAGTGGATTTTCCCCAGAATAAAACATTCACATTATTGGACAGATTCTTTCATTAAAACAAAACAAAACAACAAAACAAAACAAAACAAAATACCCTGCAGAGCTGAGTACATAAAAATAAATAAGAGCATTCTAGGGTCCAGAAAGCCCCCAGAAACAGCCGTGTCCATTCTCAGTATCAGGAGCAGCTTGGCAGAGGGAGGGAGGTGGGAAGTGGGAGTCTTTGAGGTTCAACGTGAGGCCCAGAAGAGTCTTCTAGGCCCCTTGAGATGAAGTTCATACAGCAGCCTAAGCCTTTTCAAGTCTTTTGGATTTGTAGCAGCGACCCCAGGAGGCCTGGGCCAGGATGAGAGAATGTTAATGTGGGGAGAACCTTTGAGAAAACAGAGGTTGTGTTCTCTTACTCCTGGGAGCAAGAGGGCTTCCTCCTGGAGCCCATTCCCAGGATGGGAGGTGGAGGATAGGTATCAGAGTGCAGTCCAGTGGCTGGTGGAGATGGGGGCAGTGTATTTGAGGGCTTGTAACCCTGATGTGATGAGGGTGGGGGGAGGGAGTTGCCCCCTGGAAGGCACTAACACACAGTGACTCACAGAGGAGACAGACACCGAGGGTGCTCTTTACTCACCTCTATAGTAACCCCTTAAAGAAAAACAGGCCATCTGTGCTCCACCAGGGGCCTCCCTGACCCCTCTACTTCCTTACTCTTCTTCCCTAAGTCCTTCTTGATAAGACAGGGCTGAGGATACTGAACCCTCAGCACATGTCACCAGGAACTCCTCCCCAATGCTCTATGGCAAACCTCTCAGCGTTTTCAGCCTGCTGGCCGGGATGCTGACCCTCTCAGAGAGTGAAGACACTCTCCCTTTGAGGTGCAGCCAGTTGCATCTTAGATCTGCCCTGGGGGGCCATGTGTCCCCCTCCACCTCAGCCAAGCTTAGAGCTGACCCCTGCTTGTCGGTAGGTCTCTGTCACCTCCTGGCAGTCTGTCAAGGAAAAGCAGCTGTCCCCCAGGGAGTCCTGCCGCCAGTGTCTCAGGCGGCCCTCTGAAGGGGGCCCCTCAAGTCCCATAAGGTTGTCCACAGACACACAGCCTCTCAGGGGAGGCTCTGGGAGCCGTTCGGGCAAGTCCAACTGGTCAAAGGACTCAGAGGACAGGATGCTGTCCTCACTCACAGCCCCAGAGGGGCGGCTGGGCCGGGCTGGAGGGCATGAGGGGGCCAGTTCGTCCAAGGAGCCGAAAGCCGCGGGGGCCTTGAGCTGGGTGGCCGTGTGGGAGAACTTGCCGTTGTGTTTGAGGATTCCCTTGCGATGCAGCAGCAGGCCTGAGGTGTCGGGGGGCTTCTGCTCCGCGGGGTCAGCACTCACAAACACGTCCCCTGAGTCTGTGTCTAAGAGCTCCCCGGACTCACTGGGCTCGGGTGAGGAGTAGTAACCGGACTCCCGCTGCCCCGACTTCTTGAGGATCCCCTTCCTGGGCAGCAGTGGGGCGGCCTGTCCGGTGCTCACAGAGACTGGGTGGGGTGCGCCGCGCTCCTCCTTGGCCCCCTCTGGGGACGCGTTCTTCTTCTTGAGAATGCCCTTGGGCAGCTGGAGGTCGCCTTTGCCCGGGTGGGGAGTGGGATCATCGGCTGCACCCCCTGAGCGAGACGGAGCCATGTCGTTCTCCTTTCGGGATTTCTTGAGGGAATGCTGGCGCTCCAGGCCTGGGGGGACGCCACCCCCACCAGGCACATGGTGCTTGAAGAAGCTGCACACCTTGGCCCCGTTCTCCAGGAGGGGCCGGGAAGAGCGGCGGAGCCAGCTGGCCATGGAAGCCCGGGCAGAGTCGCTGCTGGAGTGCCCACCCTCCTGTGGGGTCTCCTGTTCCCCCACACGGGTGGCGTAGCCCCAGTTGACCCACCAGTGACTGGCTACATCCTCCAGGGTGGCCCGGCGGGTGGGGTTCACCATTAACAGCCACCGGATCAGGCCGCAGGCGTCTGGAAGGCAGGGAGGGACCTCAGTTTGGCAGCCCCAAGAAAGAGCACCCCCTGTTCCTATCTCATGTCCCTCTAATCTGCTTCACCAACATTTCATGGTCCTTCTCATCACAAAGGGCCTAATGCCGTGTACCAGGACGTAGAGAACCCCAGGGACCAGCTGTCCACCTGGGAGAGACAGAGAGATGCGCAAGAATGCCCACTTTAATTATGGATTGAACTGTGTCTCCTGAAGACGGGTCTTATAACTCCTGACCCCTATCTGTGGGTGTATCTCTTTGGGGAATAATGTTTTCTTCATTACCTTAATGAGGCCCTATCAACCTCACTGAAGCATAATCACTTCCGTGATATAGTTTCTGTTTGTTACAAGGACTCACTTGCGGTATTTCTGTTACATCAGCACTAGATAAACTCGAGAAGTTCTGGTAGACAAGTGGCTAAAAAGTTGTGCAGCTAACCCAAAGACGGAAGTTTGGAAGGCATCAGCTGCTCCAGGGAAAAATAGGGACAATCTCCTCTCCTGTGTGATTTACAGCCTCTGAAAACCTGCCAGAGGGTCAGCCACGAGTCGGTTCCAAGTCCAATGGCACATACCAAATGGATAAACAAAGGCAGCTTCTGAACCCATCGCATTCCAGTCTGTCTCCTCATTCCCTAAATTTTCTACATGGGTTTCCTCAATTTCCTTTTCTGTTCCAAGGCCCTTGCTTGTATGTGTCTGTGGTCCCTGCCTCCTCTGCCCACATTTAGACCTCTGAGAGCAGGATTGTGTTCAAAGGAAAACCAGGGCTCTCACACTCCCCCCCCCCCACCTTCTCTATAGCATATAGGGAGCATAGGCTGCCAGCTCCTTGGCGAGCTGCACTGCTAACCCAAAGATCGTGTCTCTCTCTGGCAGTTCAAATCCACCAGCGACTCGAATGGGGAAAGATGGGCAGCCCCCTCCTTGTGATTTACAGCTTTGGAAACCTGCTGGCGGTCAGCAACGGGTGAGCAAGACAGTGTATGAAAGACAGATTTCTGAGGATAAGACAAAAGCAACAGGAAATGAGACAATTGCAGCAAAAGGAATCTAAGTTAGCTGTTAGGAAGCACTTCCCAACGATACTCAAGCTGTCTATAAGGGAAAGAGGAGAGAGCTTCTTTTTCTGGGGTCCTGGACCTTGCAGTTGGAGGGATGACTGCTGGAGGTCAGTGAAGGGGTGTCCTAACCTATAGTGGGGTCACACGGGCTGGGGTCCTCTTTGCTTTAGTGACTGTGAGCCCCGGTTGTGTCTCTGCACGAGGAATCAGCCCCTCCACCTTGGGACTCACCAGAGGGTTTAGGCGGCTCCCGGTAGGCCCCGCTGCTAATCTGCTTCACCAGCGTTTTATGATCGTTCCCATCGAAAGGCATGGTGCCATGTACCAGGATGTACAGAAGGACGCCCAGGGACCAGCTGTCCACCTGAGGGAGAGAGAGAAGATCAGCATGGATGCTCACGTGCCACACGATGCCAGTCTCACCACAACACCACAGGAGCAAAAGACCAGGAGGGAGAACTGAGGCTGTCATGCTGGGGACAATGTTCTGGTGGCACCGAGAGGTAAAGGGGGTAAGGCTGTCATGGAAGGGGCTCGGAGCTCACAGAGAGATGCTTTCCTTCATTGTCTTTTTGTGAAAGGTGGGGACAGACAGAGCACAAGAGCAGGTCATCCTCAGGGGATGAGGTTGTGCCTGACCACTCTCTACCTCCAGATCATCCCAAGGAGACCAGACTTGGTGCCCAGAAAGGCCACAGAGACTAGGCCGGTGAAGGAGGAGGAGAACTAGAGCGGAGTCGGAAGACCGAAGTTCTAGCTCAGTTTTGCCCTCCCTGGCTAGAAATCGGGTGCACTTTTTGCTCTGAAGAGGGGACTAACCAGGCAACTAGCCATCTACCTCAGAGGACGTCAGGGTACAGGTAGGCCGGCAGGCACGTACCTCTGGGCCCGTGTAGGGCTTCCCGTTGACGATCTCAGGTGAAGCGTAGAGGGGGCTCCCACAGAACGTCTGCAGGAACTTGTCTTGATGGTATTGGTTAGAGAGGCCAAAGTCGGCGATCTGCAGTTAGGAGAAACGCAGGCAGGGTTCACACCAAGGTCTGGCTTTTTCTACTCTTCTCAGCCCACCCACTCCAGATCCTGGGAAATGCTGGGCCCCCAGGAAACAGGAAGGATGCTCACCACCCCATCCCACACTGGGGTTCATCACCATAGTTCAGATACCAGGGGATCCCTGAGAAGGCTGGGGCAATAGGGAGCTCTTAGACAGAGGATGTGGCGAGTTAGACTGAGGCCCAGCCCAGGAATGCTCTCCCTGCCTATTCACATCCTCCTGACCCTGCTGGCCCAGGCCCTCAGCCCTCCTTCTCCTGCACTGTTTCCAATGACACTGTAGTCCTGCTTGCCTGCCACGCTATACTCTTTCTATGTTCACCACCTCCTGACTCACTGCTCTTACAGCTCCTTGCACGGAGGTAAGCACAGAGGTGGTCCACGGATAAGGCGGAATGGACAGTTATCGGCTGAAAGGAAAGTCTCCAGGATGGAGGGACAGAGCCAACTTGTCAGGTCAGAGCCATGGTCCTCCGACACAAGCAAGCCCCAGGACCGACTGGCCATGCGAGGCCTGAGCTGCCTTTCCTAGCATAAAGCCCACCACTGCCCACACCTGGGCCTTGGTGTTGGGAGCCAGGAGTCAGATTGGTGTAGCTGAGAAGCATTGCTGAGGGCAAAACAAAGGTGGCTGTGCTACAGCCCAGGAGAAGAAATCATCTCACCGGACAGAGACTTCGGGGCCATTCTCGGTCCCCAGACACAGCCTCTCCTGCCTTGTTGACCTGACCTCTTCACACTCTCCTCAGAGGGCATGTGTGGCCAGGGTGGAGAGCACTTGTTTATGCAATTCTGGCTCCTTCGTTTATTGTTTTATGGGCCCATATCAAGTAGTTATAACAAGCCAGTCAATAACGAACAGCCTCTAACAAGGCAGATTATTGGTGCAGATGGGAAAGTCTATACTGGTCTCAGTTATCTGGGTTTATTGGCTCTGGGTTCTCTGGTCAACATCAAAGGAAAAAAGCCCCACCCGTTTTGGGAATTGCCTGGGAGCTGGGAATGAACTCAGTGCCAGGGTGCCTCAAGCACAGGTCAGGGTTCACTGGAGAAGAGCCTCTGTCTCGAGTTCCAGAAGATTCCGAGAAGGGTCAGGAGGCAGAGCCCTCCTCAGAGGCTCTGGGGAAGAGTTCTGTTGAGTCCTGGGCCAGCCTTTGCCATCCTCCCCTTCCTGCCTGAGGTCTGGGTTTGTCCCATTAGCATACACGTCTCTTGTCCTAAATTTACCTACTTAGGCCTGGGAATCAGCAGCTGCAGGAACGAGGAAGCTGGTGTCACCGTACTAGGTCTGAGGGGACAGGTGCCAAAGGGCCAGCTAATTGCAGCAGATCAAAGTATGCATGCGTGCGAGCGTGGACGTGTGTGCGCAGGTGAGAACTCAGGTCAAAGTGACCCCAGTCCTGGAATTCTGAAGCTGGGTGATAAGGTCAAGAGCATTGGCTAGTTAGAGAGCCAGAAGGCTCTGCTACAACCACTGGGAGCTGTGGGACGCTGCGTGAGTCATTTCTCGTTCTGGGTTCCTGTCAGTACCAGGGCATAAATCTGAGCTTTATTCCTAGGCCTTTCTGATGTTTAGACTCTTGGTGAGGTAGTATTGAAAGCAGAGGCAGAGGGGAAAATTACTGGAAACAAGAAGTTGAACTCACCTTGATATTTCCATTGGCATCTAAGAGGATGTTCTCCAGCTTGAGATCCCGGTGGACAACCCCGTTCTAAAAGAAGGAGGGAGGAGAGTCAGGGTAATGTCACTTTGGGGGAGGATGGGTGTGGAAAATGAGGCAAACACAAAGGGAACAAGTTTGCGACCAGGGAGGTTACTAGGGATGCTGTTATGTGCCATCAAGCCGCCTTTACTGGTGCCCACCCAGGGCCAACAAGTCAGTCCATTCTGACCAGTACCCTGCCATACAGACTCACAGCAAATCGGACTTCCAAGGCTTATGGGAGAAGACTATCTGTCCATCTTTCTTTTATGGATCGATGGTAGATTAGAACAGCTGACTTTTTAGTTAGTGACCGATATGTTACACCAAGAGGGATCCTTAGTGGCACATGCTGCCGTCATCATTGTTAAGTACCACTGAGTCAGAACCCACCCATGGCTGACCCTCCAGCAGATTTCCAGAGGCAGTATATCTCATGGGAAGAGGCTGCCCATCTTTGTCCCACGGAGCTGGTGGTTTTGAACCACATACTGTTGGGATGGCAGCGTGATTCCTTATCACTAAGCCACCAGAGCTCCTGGTCTTAGGAAATGATAGTCTTAAGAAAGCATAGGCCCTTAACAGTTTCCAAACAAGAAAATAAAAAGCAAAAAACTAAAACCACCATCTTCCCCCCACCCCCATTTCTGAGGATTCCAAATCTAGTGTTCCCTCTCCTCCTGTCTCCCTTGTGTGACCTTGGACAACTCACTCTGTAGTCCACACCAGCCCGAGAAGCCCAGAGCCCACTGCCAGGAGCAGGGATGGGCAGTGGGCTACTTACTTGGTGGCAGTAGGAGACAGCGGAGACAATCTGGCGGAAAAAATGGCGCGCGTCCCGCTCGCTGAGTCGCTGGCGCTCGCTGATGTAGTCGTACAGGTCTCCCCGGCTGGCGTATTCCATGACGATCACAATCTTGCTGCTGTTCTCAAACACTGAGAAGGACCAGGTGGGAACATGAGGCCCGTCCAGAACCCCCTAGCTAGGACCCCAGACTAGACACGACCTCCCTATAGAGGTGTCTGCAGACAGGTGGCCTGAAAGGGCAGGAGTGGGTTCCTTTTAAGGTTCACCTTCCAGACCCCTTGAGGTAAGGCCAAGCCCTTCCCTCCCGCTCCTTGGAATTCTAGGCTTCTAGGGACAGCAGTAACATGACTGGATAGGTCTGAAAGGCCGAGGGCTCGGGTTCAGAATCCAGTCCTTGCTCACCGTCTAGTGACCTTGGGCAACCCCCTTCTAGATACAGCAGTAAAAATGTGCATGTGGAATTCAAAGCCTGACCACATCACTTATTATTCAACCTCGGTGCCTCAGTTTCCTCATTTGAAAGATGGGATAATAAGGGCACCCTCCCACGGCTGGGGTGAAGGATAGATAAAAAGCCAAGGGCAGCTCTGGGGCAGGATGGGTCAGCCGCCAGAGAGTATGGTACAGAAACGCATAGATGGTACAGCCTGTTATCTTTTAAGAGCCCAATAGATGCCTGCTTGTCTGCTAATCAAAAGGACAGTTACCAGCAGCACTGTGGGTATAAAGACCAGGCAATCTTTGCTCATAAAGATTCCTCTTGCTGTTGAATCAACTCCAAAGGAATACCAAGACTGCAAATCTTCTCAGAAGCCCACTTCCACATCTATTGTCTGCAGAATAGCTGGGAGGGTTCAAACCACTGATTTTCCAGTCAGACTTAACCATCAGAGGTTACGGCCTAGAAAACCCAACAGGGCACATGTATTCTGTCCTACAAGTTACTTTGAGTCTGAAAGGCAGGAAAAGATAGAGGGCCAGCGGGAGAGAGGGAGACTCTCTCAAGGAGAAGGGTTAACACAGTGACTGCAGCAATGGGCTCAAGGCGGGTGCAGAACAAGGCAAAGATCTGTTTATTAGATTACTATGAGTCACTGTTGACTCAACAGCACCTAACAACAACATAAATCCAAATGGACTTGCTGGCACACACAACAACTGCTCTATTATTTATCATCAGTTCTCATGTGTAAATGTGAAAATCAGTAGCAATGATGCCTGCCTTGAAGCTCAGAGGAGGAGTAACGTATACAAAAACATTCTCACTGCAATCAAATAGATTCTAACTCATAATCCCAAAGCCATAAGTCATTACAGGAGGAGACTGCCCATTTTTCTCCAGAGGAGCACCTGGTAAGATTCGAAACCAGCGTCATGGTTAGTAGCCTGACACATTAGACATTATACCACTGAGGCTCCTTTAAAAAGTACACAAAAGTGTGGTTTTTAACCAGAAAGAGTGGTGGGAAAGTTGAGGTATGACTCACCCTCATCACTGACTAACCCTACCCAGAGCGTCTAGGTGAGGGCTTCTACACAGAGTGGTCAATAAATTGGGTCATTGATTGACTTGTGATCTCTAGTGGCACAGTGGTTAAGTGCTCTGTTGCTAATCAAAAGGTCAGTGGTTCAAATCCACTACAGGAGGAAGATGTGGCAGGCTGCTTCCATAAAGATTACAGCCTTGGAAACCTTGTGGGGTAGTTCTAATCCACCTTACGGGGTTGCTATAAGCTGGAACTGCCCAGCAATGGTTTTGGCTGTGTGGTTTCCACTGACGTCTGCTGAGGGTCCTGGCCTTCGGCCCACCCCAGTTGGCTGGTCTCCAATGCAGGAGTAGCCTCCCCCTCCCCCGGAAGGTGGGGAGGGGCTGGTTCATCAAACTGGCCTTTCAGCTGGGCATGTGTCAGCACATATGTGCCCATGACATTGACATTGAGTCAAACAAGTCCTAGGAGTTTGGCCTGCTCAGCCAGCCCCAAAGCTATTGCTGTCCAGCCCTCTAGGAAGGCGCTGCAGGAGGCGGTGTCTCCCAAGAGGAGTTCAAGCTTCCAGGCAACATGGCCAGGACTGGGCTTTTCTCCAGGAATCCCGGGCACATGGCCCTAGTGGATGGTGGCCCAGCCTCCTGGGGTACACCCTGCTGAACACCCTGTGGTTCTTGGTATACCGGCAAGGGCGAATGTAACCTCTGTGCCAAGGACCTGAGGGTCAAGAGCCAGTCAGGGGGCATCCTGGAGAGAAGCTGCATAAGCTCCTGGGATAGGGTCTCCCCTTAATCCACCCCCTCTAAAGCTTATTGCAGGATGCGGGAGCCCTTCCAGACACATAGGAACTGTCCAAGAGAAGGCACATGCCGAGTCAAAGCTCAGTTCCCAGAGAGATGTAGCTGAAGTGTGGGGAGTTCACACATGCACACAATCAGCATGCTCAGCCTGGTTTAACCAATGCTCTGTCATCTGCCCACTCTTCCCCTGGGGGAAATACACACGAGATACAATTAACCTTCTCAGTCACATGCCAGGGACAGGATCAGGCCATGTCAGCAGCTCTACCTTCAGTCCTCGCATGAGAAGAATCTAAAGAGCATAGACTTGCCTATTTCTTCCCATCAGGAAAAATCAGAGTAAGAGCAAAGCCACAGGCTCCCACTCAACCTCCTGCAGCTGCTGGTCACCCTGGTCTCCTCTACCTGACACTATGAAAAGGCTCCAAGCAGACAGGTGTGAGTGGGAGGGTGCTCCCCCTCTTTCCCACTTCCCTCTCTCTGGCTCGCATTGTTGTCTGGGTCACAAGGAAGAGGGCAGCCGGAATAGCAAAGCCAACGCTGATGTCAGGCCAAAAGGAGGGGAGGCAGTTTCAGAGCACGAACCTGGCTCTTGGGATGCGTGAAGAACAGCACCCACACACCTGGGGCAGGTGCATGTCTGTGTCTGTTTAAGCCTCCCCCGAGATTGCCAACGAGCTCAGCGGTTTGGGTAGGTGTGTTTAAGTAGGGAAAAACCTAACAGTAACAACAAAAGAGCCTGACATTTTTGTGCACCTCCCTTGAGCTGAGTCCCGGGTGACATTGTCTGATTTGATCTTTGCAGCCACCCTGTAGGTCTGTGACGTAGGCAGGACATCCCATTTCACAAATGAGGAACCAAAGCCTGAGATGAAATTAAATGAGTTGCTCCAAGTTATATAGCTGCGTTTTACATGTAGCGTTTGTCCTACTCTAAAGATCATTTCTTGTTTAGGTTTAGTGTGTGTGTGTGTGTGTGTGTGTGTGTGTGTGTGTGTGTGTGT